GTGCTTCATCCAATTCATATGTGTGCTTTGTTCTAGCGTTTGCTGTTTTGTTGTTAATTTATATAGCAATCTGTGTTAATCGCGGCGCTTATGTTGTAACTCTCTCGAAAGTAAAACTCCTGAATGCATCTAAACGACTAACACTATGCTAAGTCAATTAATTTTATAATGTCCCGTTAAATTTTATTGGATAATTGCATTATAAGCAACACGAATGAAATGTTGTCTATTATTATTTTGTTTACACACACACACACACACAGTTACGTAATATTTCCTATGAACTTTATTTAATATTTGTAATTTAATATTAATTATTAATATTTAGTATGTATTATACAATGATTGCTATAAGTAATCCACGCGAATCATTAACCTAAGATATCCAAGATGTCGAATATTTTTATAAATAAAAAAGAAATTCTTAAAGTACTACATTTGTCAAACACTTTATGAAAAATTCTTTACATCATCTCTCTAATTTTAATCGTTTTAATTATAAATTCTTATTTGTATGCCACGCATACAATAAAGCAAATAAATTGACAAAAAATAAAGATTTTTGTCGTAAACAACTAATGTCGTACTTGACATTAAGACACGGGTTAATTACATATCACGCGCAATATATGCATGCATGCATATATGATAACTCTGAATAACAGTACATTTAATCTGGATCATCCACTAAACTAAAAAAATCAGAAACGATACGCACACACACATGCAGTAATTTCAAGTATCATCATAATAACTATTTGATCAATGCAAAACGAACTTATTAAATTTTTTGTGATGACTTTTGAAAAGTTAACATTATAAGCGCTGCATATATTTAATGTTTGTTTTTTTTTGTAAAGTTATTATTGCGTAATATCATGTCGATGAGATAAGTGTCTTATTGGAAAAGACTTGCAACTTAATTATCTCTTTATTCTACACATATATATGTATATATATGTACATAGAAGTGACACAGAGAGCGCCGGCAGATATTCCCGATCGGAAGTGGACGGAGCGTCGTCCCGAAGACAACGGAAACCGAGGATCAATCTGTCCCAATTCTTTAGAAGGAACAAAGATAAAGTGTCTGGCGCCGATACAGACACTATGAAAACTGTTGTTACCATCGACGACGAGAAGGTAATTGCCGTTTTTTACGTGGATGACTTACCCATAATTTATTATTCTTTTTGTGTCATTATTATTTCTGTAAATAAATTTGATTGTTTTTACGATACTTATGTTGGAAGAAAATTAAAAGATTCAGTAGTGATTAATTAATACCATAATAAAACAAGATAAAATTTAAATTTCTGCATTCATGCAAATCTTCGACATTAATAAAAACGCAATATTAAATATGAAAATTAAATTATTAGTAATTACATCAAATTTTTTTCTTGTTATATTGTATAGTGATACGTAGAAAGCATTCTATAGAAAAATTAAATAGATTTTTTTTTCTGTTGATAAATAATTTTTTAATATTCAAGCAAAAAAATTAACATGACTTTGAACATTATATTTATAATACATAGACTATAGAGACATAATTTGGAATGTTTTGTACAGTGATGGACAGAATGATTGCAAAATTTTTTTTTCAATGAATAAAAGTCAGCCTTGCTCGTAGAGCTGCTGAACGTAAATGTAGTTAGATCTGAAGGTAAGAACCAATCGCTCAGTGAGCAGGCTTTATTCCGAAAAATTGAAAAAAAAGGGTTAGAATTCTGTCCATCTATACAGTTAAAACATGTTAAATTATGGCTTTATATAAATAACATTTTGCCGTCATACTTTTTCGCTTGAGTGTATAAAAATTACTTCTTACGGAATCTATTTAATTTTTTTATACATAATATCTATATTTAAATGCAAATGCACATGCATTACTATACATCATTAAGATTCTTTCTTTTTTGTGGTTTGTTTACAACATCTTTTTATCACATTTTGTATCTGAAAAACCATGATATAGCTTCAGACTGTTGAGCAAGCTGTGCAGGAAGGCAGAACGAATCCTCCGACAAGCGAAGGCGGAATAGTATACGCAGAATTGGATCTTACGCAACAGCAACAAGGTGTCACACCTCGACGAATTAATGAGGACAAAACGGAATATGCTGAAATTTTGTATACAAAACCAGAAACTGAAGAAACAGCGGATAAATAACTGCATCTCCTTAAAAGTAATTAAGACGATCGTGTGTTTCCCTTTTTAAATTTTAACACTTGTTTAAATGTTTTAAAAAATTGATGTTTTGACAGAGAAAGTGAAAATAAAATAGATAAACAATTTAAACGCGAGAAATATTTCAAGACAGACTCGTTATTGATTTTTTTTAATTGTAATTATTTCAAAAGTTATTTACGCATTCTCATTTATGAAAATGAACACGGTCGACGTTCCTCATTAATCAAATCCCCACGATTATATGTCTCCGTACGTGTGATAATTTATTGTACGGTAGATAATTTTATGACGCCTCGGTGCTCCAATTTATCATTCGACATTGCGTCTATGCAACTTGGTCATTATCGAATTCGGGAGCAAGATCTTTACTGATTGGAACGACCGGAAATCATAATAATGTTGCTCCGTGCAATTATTCTATACAAATTTATAACATGTCACAAAAAGATATATGCAAATATGCAAATCACATTATTCATTGCTAAGTCATTCTTTCGTAATTTACATTAGTATTTCCATTGATGAAATTTTATGGAAGGTATGATCTTAGCCGTCCAATTATTTTACCCTCGAATTCTAAACAATTTTACTTGAAATTTTTCTGTTGTTGGAATTTGTTATATAAAGAATTTGCTATATTAATTTGTTTAATAATTTGTTTTTGAGAACAAATTTCTCTATAAGGATATATCTCTTCTTTTTAAAATTTTTTATTTAAGTTTATGTGACTTTCTCAATGATACGCTAATCTTCGTACTAAACGTACTTAAATATTATCATTAATTAATTAATTATCGTTAATGTTATTATTGTCCACTTAAATAATGTATAAGCATAATAATAATAAGTGTATGGCGTGCAAGCTGTAGATACGTTTAAAAGTCACTTGAACAATTTAATCACAAAAAATAAACATTGAAGAAATGGCAATTTAATCACTTGAAATATAGAAAATATATATATTAAGAGAAAATCTTAACAAAGGAATTTAATCGAATGTTCTCCTCCAATTTTAATAAGCTTTGGATATGTTAAAGTATAGACAAAAGTAACATACATATTTTTTTATACGTATTTTTTTGCGCATTAAGGAATAAAATCCTTTCTTCAAGAAATTTTTCTTTTTGATTGAATATCATCTAAATCGGCAAAAGATATAAAAAAAAAGTTTTAAATGAAAGATGAATGGTTTTAAAAGTACCCGTAGTAATAATATAAAAAAATTTTTAATATAAAAAATATTTTAATTATAAAAATAAAAAATATTTAATTATCATTATAAAGTACCTATTCTTTAAATTATTCAACTTTTAATTAAAACATTTTTTATTTTGACAGTTCCTCAGATATTATTCACTCAGAAAAAAACGTTTTTAAAAGAGGATTTCATCATCTTAACGTGCAAAAATTCTTATATGTATCTCTTATTTTTTCTATATTTTAACGTATTTGAAATTAAAATTAAAGGGAAATACTTGATTGTGTTTTGTTGTAAAAATATTATAGTTACATTTAAAAAAAATTAATGTATTAAACAAATAAAACTGCAGGAATGACTTTTAAACGAGTCCTCATTTTTTCATATTGTAAAATTTAATCTGCTTAAAAATTATATAAATTCAAATCGTATCATTTTTTTACTGAATACAATTTTTGCTATAATAATTATTACAATTTTGCTAATATATTACGAGAATAATACAATACGAGATTTGCGTATTACAATCACGTCTTGCGTTATTTTTAAATATGTAATTTATAAATATATGTACCACCTTTTTGCAAGAATTTAGACTTGATATATTATTATATTAAATTTAAAAAAACTAATTACTTAATTAAATTAATTACAGCAATATAAATTTTGACATAAGTTAATTATGGATTTTGTTTGATTAGTTTGATTGTATTCTAGGTACAAAACCTATGATTATATCGATTCAAACATTTTTTGCCGTCCGACACTAACAACTTTAGTTAATTTTTTTATGCATTTATTTTAATAAATATATGTAAACATAAAGTATATGTGAATAAATTATATGAAAATTATTAAGCTTGTTATACACTTTTCTCAAACTCCCTTTACTTACCATAAATCTTTCATAAATAAATCTAAACTTTCTTTGTAAAATCTTTTATAATTTTTGAATGCCAATTTTAATTTTCTTAACTCTAAAAAGTTTAAAATAATTTTTACCCTAAAAAAGATGTGATAAATATATTCAATTTTTTCAATTGTAATGTAATATCCTTTCCTTCAAAAATAATTTAGAAATTAATGATGAAAAGATGGCATATTGCATAAGCAGCAATAAAATATTATAAATTAATGACGATAAATTAATTATATTTGATTGAATCTATAACTTGGTCATAAATAAACTTTTATGCCGTCAATAGTCTTTATACTTTACTTATCAATTTTACATATATATATCTGTAAAGTTGCGTGTTATATAATGCATATATTATAGGTATATCATTCCTACAAGTATAACTGTATATATCAGGTGTTAATTTATATGTGATTAATTTACATATATATACAAAAAGGTAATGGGTTTTATAATTAATGGAAATACCCTAGATCTGTTCCCTATTTATTCAGTTACTGTTTTTTAAAGCATAATTTTCCAAGAAATATATAAAATAACAATGACCTTGATAGATTTTCAAATGAATTGATTTTACATAATGTTGATATGTAACCGTGTGCGTATGTGAGATCATAATCTTATTTTTTTTTCTTCCATAATAATGCTGTCCTTACGTCAGAGAATCTCGAAGAAAAACATTTAACTTATATTTGTGCTCTTAATGAACTTCTTATTGCAAAATTACTACATCGCTTTTGATTATTCTTGTTCTGTATCGGTTGTTACATCACTTGATTCGCTATGTATATTCGGAATTTCAGTTTTAATTAAAGTTTTTTCATTTTTGGGTAAACGATGCTGATAACTAGCGTAGTTTTCCTGAGACATTTCCGCGACGCTCTTGTCGAAATCTACACGACTTTGCTCTCTGATGAAGCCACGTTCGCTGACATTTTCGAACAATTCTATTCTAGGTGGAGGCTCGTCACTGGTAAAGTCTATCGGTCTTGGATAACGATTGCTCGCAGTAATCAAATCCGTGAAAGAAACTCGCGTCTTATACGGATCCGTCAAAGAATCAAATTTCAATAAATCATCCTTTGTCTCGATAAAATCCAAGGGTAGCTTAGGTCTTTTCCAAGAACGCGCTTGACCGAGATTCATACGCCACTTGGTGCTCACGAGCGCATTATTCGCATTTTCGGGATTCAGTACACATTCCGTACGACGAAGTTGTAAATTCTCCAGCTGGGAATCTCTGGCAGTACCCTCAACAAAGCGCTGTCGGTACTGTACAGTTTGAAAATTTGTGTTAAATTTAACTCATTTTACATGTCCATTAAAATTTTTAATGTTAATTTAATGTAACATGAATATGTTAAAAAATAACTATTAGAAAGTAAATATGATGTAAAAAAGTTTAATTAAAATGTAATACTAATACAATTTGTAAGCAAATTATAGAAGCATATTTTTTAATAAAATTGACATTTATGATAGGTTGAATTAATATATGTACTTGTAAATATATGCATTTTAATCATTTATCTTAGAACTTTAAATATATTATTTTTATGTTATTTGTTCATTTACTTGTAAATTGTGTTATTTTTTTTTTTTAAACCAAGAGATATTGTTAAAATCATTTTGAAAATTGTGCGATGTGAACAACAATTAAAAATAAAGACTAAGCGATCAAGTTGGATCTTCGTGCTAAAAAATAAAAATAATTCACGTGAAATTATATATCACAATTACGATCCTGTAAACTGAGCACCGAAATTATATTCTTGTTTATCAATTTAATTTGTGATATTACTATTCTAGATCTGATTTCAAGATTGAAAATAATTTTGATGCCCAGTTATACTGAAAAAAAATTGGCTGTATTATAAATATGGCATATAGCATTTTTAATTGGCTGCAGCAGCCAATCTTTTCTTTCAGTACAGAATTGAAATTGTGGTATATAATTACTAAATTCACGTAAATTATTTTCAATATTAAGATCCAGCTTAACAAATATAACCGCAAATATGACCGCTTAACAAATATAATGTTTTTTACTATGGGTAAGTAAGAATCTTCGTCGGGTACTACAACCGCTCCCGGAATGGGTATGCCAGGATCTTCGATTTTTCCAGGAACTTTTTGTACAGATGTAGGCAGGATCTTCCTTCTCGTGGTACAGAGATCCGCGTCGAAGTCTTCTCGGTCAAACGCGAGGCTTAACGGCGTGACGTATACACTAAGTCTTTGATTGGTATTAAACATCTTCGTGATCGCGTATATTAGAACGTTTATATTTTTGCAACGTAGAACATAAATTGCGCCGCGATTTTTCGGGAATAACGGTGGACCGATCCAGCAAGGATCGGCAACATAATAAGCATCTTTAGCCGTCAACGCTGCCAAGGTAATTTTGTTACATTCAATGATGATGTTACGCGCCTCTTCAAAGGCCAAGTTCAAAGCATCAGTTAACGTTAAGCTATTTCGATCACCGTACAAAATCCCGCACACACTCGTACCGAAATCAACGGTCCATGAGTGTGGAAATATCTTAAAAGAAGTTTGTAAGCCAAATCTGTTGTCAGACTTCGAATAATTCTGCATTAAACTCTTCAGGCTTTCCGTATAGTAAGAATCTCCGCAAATCACGGCGGAGTCCAGGATAGCCGGACTCCAGCGTGAAGGATGACAGAGATTCCACATAGCTAGGACAGCTACGCATATGGCGACGCTATTTTTCCCGGCTCGTTCGCCAAAACGACAATCATAAGCACCGATCGTGCCCCAGATGGAGTAAATTAGACCAATTACTTCAATCGCGTAGTTATTCCAAAATTGCCGATTGGTCTTTGACCTGTCGCCGTACTTCACTTTCTTACACGATCTCATAATTGAATGCGTGAAGTTCCAGTGATAGTCCAAATAGAGCCACATTGGATCTTCTTGAAATTTCTCAAACGGTGGCGCGTCGATGGAATTCACGTGAATTCTGTGAAGGAAGAATCCAGTTGTACCTTCGTACTGATTGAGGCACATGTGTTTCACCATTTGACGTATGGAAGAGAAGATGCAGAGACAGGCGTTGCCGTTGACACAAGTTTTTTTGCCATCTGTATCGCATTGATAGGGATCTAGATAGTAGTAGCAGTTGGTTGCTCTTGAATACCAAAAGCCATAGCAGCAGTTTGTAAAATGCAGTATACCACTTGTGTGCATCTTAAAATAACGTTTCAGATGGTGTTTCACCTAAAACCATTAATATAATGATGTTTGTATATAAAATAAGATTATGTATTAAGGATTAGAATTCTAGCTTCAATAAATTTTTAATGCAATCTAAATTATTATTAATTACACTGATTGGCAAGTTTTTATTTTTCATATATGTATATTATACTACGTCGTATGTAATTCTTCGATATTCTTGGGGGAGTTTATAAATATTGCGTTTCAAATCTGAAAAAATTTCGGCGTGCAATCAAAGAATTACACATATATAAATTCACACGCAATTATTTAGAAGTGATCCAGCTTAAACCGCTGTGGCATTATCTCATTCTGTTTTAAATTTAGCAGTCCATTAAGAATTGATATATATATTCTTTATAATTTTTATTTATTTTAAAAGCCATTAAATCAATTTAGTTAAGAAAAACTCTAGACACAACAAATTGTTGTTAGCAAAATGTATAAGTTTTTTAAATGAAAAGTCTGCAGAATAAATTCTAACTTATTTTTAGAACAAGCATCAAAAATACCTAAAAATTAATTAAAATTACCTATTTAACGAAATTATTGTGTCGACTAGCATATATAAATAAATATAAACAGATCAAAATTAAAAGAATAATTTTAAAAATCTACCTTATTAGTGTTAAAATAAGAAATAGATAAATATATTCCATTCTTACGAAAAGAAATAAAAAGGAAACAGAGAAAGGGTAATTTTCTTTACTGTTCTTGCTCACTTGCACGTAAAAATCATTTCTGCCAGTTTGAGAATTTGTCATCAACACAACCAAGGGTAACGCGCAATCACGAAGATCGAAGAACCTATTCATCAGTGGAACATTTCGCAAGATATGCTCCGTATGAAATTTCGGCTCGATAGGAAATCCTCTGTACAAACTTTCCGCCACTTCGAGAATTCTGTCAATCATGCCAGGAAGTGGAGACTGAACAATATCCCTTTTTATCACAACAGCCAGTAACGCGACGAAATAGCAACGTTTCATCTGTGGTTCCAGCAGACTGTCGCGATTGTGAAGAGCTACCGTTCCAAGTATGAAGATTGGTTTCGATGCGAGATTGATCGGTTTGAAGATCGCTTTGGCGTCGTAAGACTCCAAAAGTTCTTTCCGATAAATCTCAGGTAGAGATGCCGTCGTTATTTTCGGCTCATGAAGACCTTTGACATCGCTAAAATCTGGTGCCATTTTCAAAGCGTGAGATATGGTGATCGCTCTCACAGTAAATCCAATCATCTGCGGCACGTTGATCACTTTAACGATTAGCTTAAGAAACTCGTCAAAGCTGCTGGTCGCGATTATTTTCAGGCTCTTCGTCCCCGTGACTGTCCACCAAGCAAAATAATTCTTGCCGCATTTCGTGACACCTATGTGAGCGGAATGGCAGACGATGATCGCACCAGTGTAGATTGTTGTTTCGAATATTTTCTCCAGGGTCATTGCGAGATTCCACCCCTCCGTAGCGTACAAAAACCCATAGTGTAGCGGTGCAAATACCGCCCGAAACACATAATTCGCTATTTCGAATTCCGGTAGCACTGCGTCGATCATATCACTCACGGAAGTGTCCTCGTTAGCTAACATACTGTCGTAGGCGTAATCGGTGGCAGCCTCGATTAAGCCGTGAATGGTACGTTCCGACCAAGAGGAGGGATCGTGAATCAACGACCACGCCATGATACAAAGATCGATGGGAATCTCGATGGACGAGTTATTATGAAATATTCTCTCAGACGGTGTTTCTCTCACCTTCGCCATTACGATGCGACCTTCATCATTTTGAAATAGCTTGAACGGTGCCAATGTAAGTGTCGTAATGTTGTTCTCCAAAACAATTTCCTCGAGCATCGAGGCCTCGTAATACCGCATCGGCGTAAAACCGGCTACCGCAACGTCACGACGCAGATCCAGTTCTGGACCCGCAGTAACCCACTCGGTTAACTCGATCAGAGACACTTCCGACTTAACTATTGGCATTGATACGTCCCGTTTTTCTTCGCTAGGAATCAGTTCTTTCTTTACCTCTTCTAGCTTCGGACGACGCTTGATACCTTTTCTTCGTTTCCGTCTCTTCATTTCTACGTAAGTGATTGATACGGTGTATATACGAAAAGGTTTTTTCGTAGTTTCGCCAGCATTTTCTTTAATTCTGTCGAGCATGGACTTTAAATCGCGAAACCTCATGAGACAACAGTAGCCCTCCTCGTTGGCCTTCCCCCTCTCGTCGCAAGGATAAGGATCGAAGAGATAGTATTTATCGTCCGCTGTCCAAAATGCGTAGGCGCAATTTGCTAACACCAATATACCAGTTTGATTGTTTTCTAAAAATTTATTGATTACCGCATCAAGTTCGTCCGACGGAGAACTCTCGGGATTTGCGTAAATGATTTCTTTCAAAATAACGTTGAAACTTGTGTCCAGAACGATCACTTTATCAAATGTTCTATATCCGTTGTATCGCAGTTTACCGATTTGTTGATCAATATTATTGGCCGAAAAGATCAAATAATCCAGAATGCTGCCGTAAAAGCGATCTACACTTAGCATGTTTCTGGCCAAAATGCATAATATAGCCGAAATAAAGCAAGGTTTGAAGTGAGAAGGTTCAATTCTTGTACGATCTGACAAACTGTTGTTGCCTCGTATTATCTCTGCATCTCCATCCACGACCTTAAAGTAATGTTCAAATAAGTTGCGTGCTAAATAATCTGTTTAGGTAAATTATATAAACGTTAAAGTAGAGAATGACAAATATTAATTAGTTTATGAAGCTCTAGATCATGATGTATATATGCATATGGTATTTAAAAAATCACATTGTTCCAATAACAACACAACTTAAAAAATAAAGATTTTAAAAATAATAATTAAAAATTTTTTTTTTTAATTATTAAAATTTTGTAATATTAATTTTGAAATACAATTTTGATAAATAATTAATTATAAGAGAATAAACTTTATCTTTTTTTTAAGTACGTTTCTTCCTTTTTCTATATTTTTGTTCTCTTTTTATAAGGAACTAAAATGATAATTTTTTAGTTATGTCGTCGTTATAATGAGAAGTTTCATAGTAAGAAATGTTTTGTACATTATTGATAACGCAGCAATTCTAAAATATCTAAATCCGTATTACAAAATTACTTTGAAACCAATAATTTCCGGTGACAAAAGATCTATTTTCTTATCAAAGTTTTCCGTTTTAATTATCATTTTCTTCATGTCTTTCACTTTATCACCATTCTTCTTGTTTAATGTCTGAAAGAAAAATTAAATTGAAGAAAGCTACCATAAAAGTAAAACTAATAAATACATATCAATAATATCTATATAAATCAAGAAATATGAATAATTTTGTAATCGTTTTATATCTAAATATGTATTTTTAAGAATGTTTTTTTCCTTTCTTTATGTTCTTGTTCCTTTTTTATAAATAAATAGTGACAATTTTTTAATTAAATCGTTATTGTAGTAGTAAGCGATATATCTATTTGGCACATTATTGGTAAAACGTAGCAATTCTAAAATATCTAATACTTTTGTATTATGAAATTTTACTTTGAAACCAATAACTTCTAATGACGAAAGACTTACTTTCTTATCGTTGTATTTCGCTTTAAATAACATTTCTTTTTTCTTTTTCATCTTATCACATTTTTGTTTACCAATGACTGAATAATAAAAATAAAACAAACAGTAATAACATCTATACTGAGAAAAGCATTAATTTGACTGCATTTAGTTCGTATTAATTATTTAGTTCAAGTATTTACATATTTAGATTAAATATACGTGAGTTTCTCATGTCATTAAAATCTAGTAATTTAAAATATGTTATTTGTTTGAATTAACAAATATTTGTTTAACAGCCAATGATCGGTTGTATTTAGTTAAATCAATTAATATTTTTTTGAATTAGCAACTTTTTTGTTAATATATATGAATAAAGAAACGTAATATTTTTTTTTATTTAAAATATTTTTTATCTAAATATATTTTTAAAGTACGTTTTTTCTCTTTATATGATACTGTTTTTACAAACAACAAAAAATTAAAAATAACAATTTTTCAAGTTAAGTCGCTATTGTAGTAATATATTATACATATTTTGCACATTATTGATAACGCGCAGCGCTTTTAAAATATTTAAAACACTCTGGATTATAAAATTATATTTTGAAACCAATAACTTCTGATAACGGAAGACCTACTTTCTTATCAAAGTATCTCGCATTAATTACTTTCTTCGTCTTTTTCGTCTTGATATAATTTTTCTTGTCCAATGGCTAAATAAAAAAGAAACTTAGATTAAAAAATTTCCTTAAAAGTAAATAAACAAGTAATAATATGTACACTATTAAAAAAAACATGATAGAATTTTGCAATCCTTCTTGTCTCTTAGACTATATAATATACATATAAGTTTGCCATGACAAAACATTGTAAGTATCAAATTATAAAAATGCGTTTTATTGTATAAATAAAATAACTGCTATGTTCAAACACGTATTAATATTTGGCATGGAAAGTGCTGCTAGGAGTATAAAAAATGTGTAAATTAAAACATTGTACGTCCATTGTACAATTGACATCTTTACTAATTGGATTAAAATTTTTCATTTACATTTTTTTATCTATACTTGCAAGATCTTAACTTTCAGTTTTACTTAGAAAAACATTTTTGAAATTTTAATATTTTTAACATGATATTTTAAATTAGATTTAATTAAAATTTTTTGCAAAAACTAATTGCTCACATCTTTAATTATTACGGCAATTTTTTATAGAATTTTTAAAATAATAATTTTTAAGAAAATAAATTCTTTTTCCTTCTTAAAAGTTTACAACGTTTTACTTTGGCGCATCTTGTTTTTTATTAATAATATATTTATATATTATTATTTTCTTTATTAAATACATATTCTTTAATTATTATATATTCTTATATTATAGTTTCATAATTATTAAAAAAAGAATTAACCTGCAGAGGCACATCAAATTGAAATTTCAGAAATTTTAACTTGAATAGAAGTTTTTCCGCATCGGTGAGAGTTTTTTTGATAATAGGAGCTACTTTTTCTGTCTTCAACACTCTTTTTTGCTCATCAGGATATGTTAGACGCTTTATCATTAAAACGGGAGTCTTAATTATTGGTCCACGTGGTATCAGTTCTGGTCTCACGACATAAAACACTCTCGGTAATTTCCCTAGCGTCTTATCTTCTTCCTTTTTCTCCAGCTTGTCTTGTCCAAGATATTTCTCGTCAATTGCTTTATCGATTTCTTTGTCCTGAATGTAACTCTCGTTGATAGCTCTTAAAGGCACCATACGGATCGGCGGCAATCTCGAGTACAAGTACTTCCTGAGAGATAATTTGATCATTTTTGATGGTTTAGTGTCTCGAAGCAACGGCACGATCGCGGTCAATGTAGAGTCTACATAAACATCACCTTTCTTGATTTCCAATCTCGAATCAATCGAAAATCGTGATACGAGAGATGGGACCGACTTATTAGCTAATTTTGCTTCCAGCAAAACGCGAAGCGTTCTCCTTGGTGGCATCACATACGGCGGTGGATGATCGTACTTCATCTTTTTCATTATTACCTCTTCGGGTAAGCTTTTCAACTCTTCTTCAGTTGGATCTTGAATCTTTACTGTAGAAGTTAAGAGAGCCAAGTTTAGACGATAAGGTGCATCAGGCTGCACGGATTCCTCGATTAAGATCAGAGGATCTTCCAGAAATTGATCTAATTCTTTTTCTTCTTCCTCTTCCTCCTCTTCCTCTTCCTCCTCTTCCTCTTCCTCCTCCTCCTCCTCCTCCGCCTCTTCTTCTTCTTCTTCTTCCTCTTCCTCTTCTACTTCCTCCTCTTCTACTACATCCTTTTTATCAACGAGTTCCTTTGTCACTTCTACATCGACATCCAATTTCTTCTCTTCAAGTTCTAGTAAATCGTCATCAGTAATTGGAAGAAATTTTGTTTGAAATTTTTCTGTTGTCTTATCTGGTATTACAATTTCCACAGATGACTTGTATTTTCCTGGTTCTATAGCGTCCAAAGCTACAAAATGAAGTAAAAAACGTGAATCGTTGTATTCTAAGATACCATAAAGTAGTTTGACCAACTCATTGAAACGATCTGTTACGTTTAAAGCAGCTGGATATTGAAAATAACGCCATCCCTCTTCATCGCTACCATAAGGATTAAACAGGAAATATTTTCCATCCTCCTTCCAAATGGCATACATCAATCTATTGTTTTCCAATATCACTTCGGGATATCGTTCAAAATAACGCTCGAGAGCCTCCGCGAGATTAGCCAAAGGATTTGCATCGCCATCAACAACGTTCATCCTCGTTTTAAAAAAGACATCGTTCTCAGCTAGCTTCAGTTTGGGAGGTAAGAGAGAGATATCCAAATGACTCGGAGCACGTGCTACTTTCCGAACAACAGCTTCTTCTTCCTCCTCTTCTTCCTCCTCTTCTTCCTCTTCTTCTTCGGCTTCTTCTTCTTCCTCTTCTTCCTCCTCCTCTTCTTCTTCTTCTTTCAATTCTTTTTCTGCCTCTTTCACTTTTTTTATTTCAGGTCGACCTTGTTGAATCCACGTTATAACTTGTTCGTAAGCCTCATTGCCGACATCAAGAATTTGATTCACATCTATATTTCGCCAACGCGTCGGATCCTTTAATTTCCTGTACGCCAACGCACTTAAAGCGATTATCAATCCTTGTTTACCTTGAGATAGCAGATCATACGTAAAGCTTGCACAAGACTTGCTACCGCGAACGGTAAGACAGTGACCGTTTATCAGAGCATATCCTCTGATAAAGTATACTGGAGGTGTCACTTGCGTCTTTTCTTCTTCCTTCTTTTTTTTCTCTCCTTTTTTTACTTCTTTCTCTTCTTTTTCTTCCTCTGTCTTCTCTTCATCTTCTTTTTCTACTACTTCTTCTTCTTCTTTATCTTCCTGCTCCTCCTCGTCCTCCTCCTCGCCCTCATCACCCTCTTCCTCCTCTTCCTCCTCTTCTTCTTCCTCTTCTTCTACTTCCTTTATTTTCTTAGCTCTTTCTTGCGCAATTATAAAAGTTACCGGCTCATCAAGCGTCATCATATATTGATCTATATTCTGCATAAGCTCTGGATATTGAATGGACACGTCTGCAAATTTACGTGATTCTGGTCGTAAGCGTGGCGTCGCATCGATCAAATCAACTTTTGTCGTATCCATTGGTGCCAGGAGCGGCGACGTCCGCGGTCTACGGTTCGTACCACTCTCTCGATAAATCACTTTTTCGAACGGCCCACTTGGCGTCACTCCAGTCTTGACATAAAGCACCTTGATTCCGTGTATTAGGAAAGGATCGCTTTCCTCATTACCAGTATTCTCCAGCACTATCTCCACAACATCGTTTACGGTGCTATTCATGGTAACGCAAGCAACATCTTTCGTGATATCATGTGTCGTTCGTTCTCTATCACCGTAATCTATCCTGAAGCCTTCATCGTCACAAGCAAATGGATCGAAGAAGTAATACGAGTCGCCATCCTTCCAAATAGCGTAAAAGATCTTCTTGATCTCAAGTATTCCGAGTTCCTGTGTCTCAAAGAACTCCTTTATGCTGCTCTTAATAGAACTCTTATCCTTCTGAGTTTGATTCGATATTACATTCGCGTTTACCTTTACCTTAGCGGAATATACCCCGAGGATAACATCGCTCATTAAATCGTCTAAACAAAGTTCGAATTCGTTGTCGAGTTTCTTTTCTAGAACTCTTACCAGATCGACTAGATAGATATTAGCCTGATTAAAAATCAGATTGATTAAAGCGGTCGTCCACTTATTGGCATTGATCAGTCGAGAATATATTAAGGCTGCTACAGCTATAATCAGATGTCCTTTACCTCGCAGAGCTTCCGGGATGGCGGGATGCGTCAGATGATAAGATCCCTGTACAATAGCTCGGTATTTCTCGCAAATTTTATAACCGCTCGGTCTTCTTCGCGGTTTCTCAAGTATCTTTGCGGTCTCCTCGGCATCTTCTGATAAAATCATTTCGACATTACTGATGAATATAGGATAAATCACGAAGGGTTCGTTTCGCACGTTACTCTTCTCAAGAATAATAAACAGTAATCCTATCAAGTCTTTTACGAGAAACAGTTTGGCCGATCCTCTGACCCTATCGGTTGCTGGCTCACCACTTTCTCGTCGCGCTTGACCATCAAATATATAATAATACTTTGAATCTTTCCAGATCGCTATATTGAGCACCGGCGATGTCAGGATTCCAGCATTGTGTCGCTCAAAAAATAATTCTAATGCTTTTACCAAATGAAGCTCTGTCGGATTGCGCGAACGAAATTTCCCGGCGTATACGGGATCCTCAATCTTGACTTCCACATTGAACTTTTTCTGAAGAAGAATAGTCCTTTTCAAGTCAAGGATGGTCATTGTCCGGCGATCGTCCGTGTTCACGTCTTTGTAGGACTCGCAATAAAACGTGTCGCCGTCCTCGACGATTTGATCGATCACCGCCTCGTTCCAACAGCGAGATTTGTGAATAGCGGTTGTAGCAAAAGCTGCAATTGCTATAGCGCCACCCTGTTATTAGAGCTGTGAAATGAGAAACTGCAAGGCAATGTTTAATAATATTTGCATTTAAAAAATAATTGTTTTAATGTTATAATTTTTATATTTTTTATAATTATTGAATTAATTACTTCAAAAAGAATATATAGAACACAAACAATTTGCGAATTCCTTTAATACAAAAAAAAATGTTAAGAAGCATTCCTTAAGGTGACCCTACACAGTCAATAATATTGTCAATATTAACAAATACTGGCAATATTACTTATCATGTATGGTTAATATTGATGGATTGATGCAGAATACTGACAGTGTCTGAATTTTGGTATTCGAGTATCAGTATGGTTTGTATTAGGATTTATGTTACAGTACGTCACAATGCAATAGATAATATACGTAAAACTAAAGTAAAATGCATTATCAATAATACTGATCGTGTAAGATTGTAAACATACTAAAAATATTGATGCGTACTGTCAGTATCACTAATTCAATATTACTGATCAGTATTATTGACCGTGTAAGGTCATCTTTAAATAAAGTTTGCATCACCAACCAGTCATGATTGTGATTACCTGGTAACCTCTGGATAACGGTGAGAAATGAGGCATATCTGAGTGAATGAGGCCGGAACGAACACCATACTTGACGCACAATGGTAACTCCGCTGTAATTTTAGTAAGAGAGTAAGTATCGTTCGGTAAATCGAGCATGTTGTTCAAGTTCCGATATTCTTCCTCTAGATCCTCATCGAACTCGTCGCTGCTCGGTGCATCCTTGACCATATCTTTCATAACATCTTTCATAACATCTCTGATTACATTGATAGTCTCGGCCGAAACTATCTCATCATATTCAGCAAGCTGCTTTATTTTCGTCTTGAATGATTTTGCTTTCTCTTTGTTCATATTGAATGCTGTTTCCTTCTTAAGCTCCATATTTTTGTTTTATATAATTCTTTATAAATTTCCAGAAAACAGAATTAATTAAGCATACAATTATATAACTCTCTAGCACTTTGATTTAATAAAACTGTAATTAATCAAAAAAGAGAGCTAACCTGAATTAATGAATGACATAAGCAACATATGAGATTGCATTTAATTAACAGCTTATAATGTTTACATTTTTTGATATCTAGTAGGTATATAAATTTCTAAAAGATTGAATTTAATTAAAATAATCAGTTTACTTAATATTTATTGACGAATATATGAATTAGACAAACACGATTAAATTTAAAATTCAAGTTAATTAATTGCGTGTTGAATTAAATTAAATGAAATTATTAACAAAATAATTCGATCAAGAAAAATGACTACAACTATAAATGAATAAATGAATAAAGCTGCACCTTGAATGTTACATATGTACATTATTATTTTTGTAGTATTTAACACGTGTATGATAAATTATTTGTATATATGCATACACAGACAATAATTTAAACTATCACTTTAAACTCTTTGAATCAGAATTTCACCCTAAAGAGTGAAAATTGAACCAATCTTAAGAAAGAATTATGGCTTTAATCTTCAAAGTGAGATTTACTCTACAAAATCTTAGAGAGTAAAGGAATATAAAAATATCTGGAATGTTAACAAATTACAAAAAATAGTACAACTAAAGTGTGCAATAATTGATTATATTAATGCAGAATGCAAAAAAATGCATAAGAAAGATAAGTTATTAAACGTTCAACAAAACTTACATTATGATATAACTTTATTTAAGTATTATACAATATTATATAAATTAAAATTAAATTATATGTAATATATGAATATCATTTAAATTTTCTCGAATTATGTCCTTTTCTTAAACTATTTTAATTTAAAATTACAATAAATTATTTTCTTTCTTTGACCATTTTAATTTAAAATTACAATAAAATATCAATATAGAATATTACTGACAAAAATAATATTCTTAAAAATATATAAATATTGTAAATTCATGAGATATATAAATATATCTCACGAATAAACACTATTCAAAAGAAATTTTTCTTCTTTAAAAAAGAAGAAAAATAAAGAAGAAGCTAATAATTAAAATACAATCGCATACAATTACAATGATTCACATTCGCGAATATTAAAATAACTGTCGCGAATAAAGGAATATGGTCACAAAAATTTCAACTATGAATAGCGAATCTGTGAATAAGAAGCGTCTACGTAAAATAAAATAAACGTTTTTATTATATCAAAAAGAATAATTTTATAATTATTGAAGAAAATAGGAAAATTTGTTACATATAAATGTTTAATACATGTATTAAGAAAATTTAAATTATAAAATATTTATATACAAAATAAAATGCTTTTTTATAAATACCTTAAGGTATTTATAAAATTTCTTAATTATTTTAGCATTAAAAATCAAATTATTATTTATTTTATTTATATTGTAACAATACAAATTAAAGTTAAATGTATAATCAATAAAACTCGTCTACTTCTTGTGTGTATGATTATGTATTTTTTAAATCTTATTTAATCAGCGTCAGTCCTAAAAAAATGTATGAGATTTGAATAAATTTATCACACAAAGATGTGACTAAATACTTATTATGAAATCAGTATAAATATTTTTACGAAATTACATTCTTGTTATTAAACTTTATTACAAGAACCTTTCACGTTTCTCGTGGACACAGGATGAACATGTTGATTGCGAGACTATATCCTGTGTTTGATATTTCATATTTGTATGAAGAAATTGCCATATTGTAAAGTCATTATAATTGAGTAATATCTTCGCCAACAAATTCATTGACTGATTTTATATGACAATTAACATTTGCGACTATTTTATAAGACTTTTGCACATATTTATATTCCAATATTTAATTCTTATCTCAAAATTAAGCTTGGAATCCAAAGAATAATTAAATTATTTTTATTTATATATATATATATATATATAAATTGAATAAAGTTACAGTAATAAAGGAGCATTAAATTTATATTTTTTTTATAAACAATATATACAATTTTCGCAAATTCTTTTATTAGTATTTGAGAGACCCACAAAGTGAGAAGAAAAATGTCCCTTTTTCTAGCTTTTAATTTTCTATATGTAAAAATTACCGAAAAAAAATTCACATGAATTAAAAATTTATAAAAATCTTTTAAAAGTAGAGATTTCAAGCATTTTTTTTTTAAATTAAATTAATTTTTGACAAAGACATATATACGTATAGTTTTGAGTTAACAAAAACCGCAGAACCTTTTTCTTCAATCCAATACAAAAAAATTGTGTTATCATAATATTCGAGATATCAAAATTTGTCAAATCTGCATATTTGCGAATTAATGTGTCCTATATATTGCTCTTATGTGGTATTAAACTTGATAAAATTGTAGCACGCAATAATCAGACGCATGACCTATGTTCTCATCTGATAAAAAGGTTAACACATTATTAGGAAGCATTTGCAGAGCATTCTCATAAATTTCAAAACGCCACGATAGTATTTATAGTTATCATTACAATGTTAATTAATTAATTTGCATATTATTTATTAAAGAATTTTATGCATATTTTTCATGATGTAACTTGATATAAAGTGTCTCCCTCATCTCATCATCAATGACTTCATTCATAAAAAATAATTAGTATGGATGTTATATACATATATTAAATATAGATTATTAATTTATATTTGTTTATTGATCAATAATATTAATTATAAAGTATTAATGTCTAATAAAAGTAAGTAATCTCGAAATTTATTTATAAAAAGATATTATATTTTAAATTTAAATACATTGACATATATTTCAAATTTTGCTAACAAATAAAATAGAAAAATATGTGCCAAATTCTTGGTTATTTATCGATTCTCACATTTTTATATACAAATATTTAGAAATAGACTAATATTATCAGAATAAAATTAATAATTTCTACGAACATATCGGAAAGTCATAAATCTGCTTGTACTAAAAAAAAAAAAAACTATGCAAAGGATGTGAAAGTAACGTAGCGGAACTTTTCCGTTACACATTTTTAATCATACCTCATCTGATACGATCTTCGAGCATCCAGGATAGCAATTCCTCCTACAGACCCATAATAAATAATAGGTCACTCAAGTCGATCTTGGTCTTTATCTAGCAACTTGAGTGGTGTTATCACTCGAAGATTTTATAGAACGGATGTAAGAACAAGGATCGAGAGCAGCGGCTGCTCTCAGTGAACGATCAAACGTCGATGAGGACGTTGCCATCAAGAATTACGTTCCTCGTTTATATGTATATAAAATATTCTGCAACTTAATTGTGTATAATGTCAGTAACATCTGCGAATTGTTAGAATGCTGACTTACATTAGGATAGTGACTCGTAAGTAATTATATTTAATGAAATTGAATGAAATCAAAACTTCTTCTTCTCTCTCTCTCTCTCTCTCTCTCTCTCTCTCTCTCTCTCTCTCTTTGGAATCAAATTATGATTTTGTTTTCATTTATTTTAATTTATTACTTCTTTGTATATTATAATCATTCTTGTATATAATAAATTACTTGATCTACTACTCAAATAAGATGTTTAAAACTCGGCGATGATTAAGTAACAACTTTTCTATAAAATCTGAATATCTGCTACTTATTTATTTATAAAACATCATGATTTAAATATGTGGAAAACAACAAAGTCAGTTATATATAAGTCAAGTATTATATGAGTCATCACTTATTAGAATATTAATTCTTATTTAGTTGTTTCTATTTATTTTCTTATTTAGTTACATATATCTAATTTTAAATTAATTATTAGACTATAGTAATTATTCATGGTAAAAGCCATTATGTGTGGTCTACAATAGCAGTAGCAGTAGTAGATATGAGGCTGTATATATATGTATAATATATATAACAATTATTCTTTTCATATTCAACTACGATTGATCAATTTTTACTCTTACAGTTTCATCTACTCTTATTACTGCTACTGCCATTATAGACCACACAGTAAATGTAATACAATAAGACGTACTTATAGGTATGTAAAATCATTATTTACTTTGACTTCGAACCGATGAACCGTCTACGATAAGAGAGATCGCGAGAACTTTTCTCAGAAATTGTTGAATTTTTATTGCAATTAATCAAATACATGTTTTATAAGGAAATGACGTAAACAATAATAAACAAAAATGTCAATGTTTACATTTCTTGTGTGGCGTCATAGCTTTAAAAATATATCTATCGTTATTTTTAGTTAATATTTATTTAAATAAACTATATACATATAAAATATAAAAAAAACAACACTTTTTTAAATTTATTTTATTTGTTATTATTTCTATTGTTATACACTAAAGTTTAAATATGATAACAAAAATCTAAATTTTTTTATAAGTACTTTTTAGGTATTTAAAATAACATATATTACAAAGATTTAAAATAAATATTTGGTTTATTTATGTAACCGGACAACCAGTCCATGCATTACATTGTAACTTTAATAATAAATAACCTTATATAAATACATAAAATACTTATATGTGTGTATATTAAAAAATTGAGATTTTGTTATTATATTTTATAATCTCTTTTTTATTATTTTATAATATATTTTCATACATTTCTATTAGACCACAGATTAAAAAAGAACTTGTACTTTTAAAATATCTTATAATCCAGATAATAATACATTTATTTACATTTAAATGTAATTTAGAATATTCTATATTTTTTCATAATTTTGTTAATATTTTGAATTATCTCCAATCATCCTTAATACTTATCATTGCACTTTCTGACATAAAATGAGAAAAGGGCAATTAATGCACTGCTTGAAGTTTTTCATTGATATTTTTACAATCACCTTTGACACTCAAACGATTAAGAAATACATAAATATGATAGACTCATTGGCCAATATTCATAGCTGATTCTTATATTTAAGACTATTCTGATTGTGAGTACAATCTTTAAGATAATTTTAAAATACATAAATATCGAACATGAGTAAAGATAATTGTCAGTCAATTTGACAAAGTAAAAATATTATTATTGAATTGTAAACGATAGCTTCAAAGCAATTGTTAAAGAATTTAATAAGATGATATACCATCTTAAAAGTCACTACTA